GTCTCCTAAAATATGAATCTACGGTACGTTTACGTTAACTATTTTGTGCTAGTTTTAATGAAAAATTAACGTAAGGTTTTCATCTAATAATTAATAGAAGGTGTTGGTGTAGCCTATTGATCTCTATAAATATAGCCATAGCTTATATATAAATATAGTCATAGCTTGGAAATGACAGCTTTGGATTCGTTCCTACTTAAATGTGTCTGTTGATGTTACTGACAGTCAATTCTATCTCCATTATTAGTTTGAATTCACACCACTGCTATAAACCGCAACCTAAAGCGACAAAATGGCGAAAATCAAAAAGGCACAAAATACCACGTCTTATAGCCTGTCCATTTATAGAGGTCATTGGTCTAGGCTGAACGGTCGGACTTCACGTTTTTTAAATATTATTAATTTTTTTATGCAGTTGCCTCATGATGTCTCAAGGCTACATAGATAATTATTGTAAAGAAAAATATATTTACAAGTTTTGACAGTTTGTTATACGTGCGATTGGTTCATGGTCAAGCATTGGTGTAACTTAAAAAAAAAAGTTATATAAAAAAACTTTAATTCGTTGTATGTTACAGCATACAAGTAATTTATATGATGGCATTCAGCGTAAGTAATTTAATACTACTTTTTCGCAAGTCACGACATCTAGTGACGATTTGTCTGCGGGAGAATATCACGATATTTCGTGTGGTTGGCACTTAAGTCACATGATATGACAGGGCTGATTTACTTTGATCAAATTGGATAATGACTAACTAACAGTAATACATCACAAAAAAAACGTACACTATACTGTACCCAGTAACTAAACTAATAAAGCATAACCCAAATTATTTGACCTAGGTATGCATAGCTTAGCAATTTTATATCGAAAACTAGTCCCGGACAAAATCTATTTAAAATGTAAAGATAAGGTAAGTAATGGAGTAAGCGCATAGGCATTTTGCTCGTTTTCATTTTGTATCAAGTAAAACTTTGAGAAGTGGCGACAGTTAAAAAACAACGACGAATCGATACCCTTGATACTTTTTGCTAAAAGTCGATCGCAAACCGCAAGCAGCGTAATTCAATACCAGTAGGTTTGGCCGTAAGTGACACCTCCGCTCCCCGGCCTTCGTGTACTACCTACTTACATTTGGTTCGTAATATTTTTAAAATTATACTGAACGCATTTATTCCAAGTACTTGTAAGATTTAGTGTCAAAATACTGTTAGGAAGAAAATCCGACACTGTTCCGGTGTACTGGTCCAACACTAGCCTTACTATTTCGACGTTTATGTCCGCTCACTAATCATTCTGACACTGAACTTGGTAACGATAGCGCGCCATTCGCGCCAAATGATTCTAACTACTAATGTCTAAAATACATAGTTAGATATGTTTGAGGAATGTGACAAATATTAATGTGTCGAACCTGCGGGTATGATAAGAGTAGATAAGAGTAGTGGATCGTATCGGTTTGCAATTTCATAGTAGTAGTTTCAATTCCAAAGATTTCTCTAATTCATGTACCTATGTTCTCAAATAACGTCAGATATTTGACGACAAAGATGTTTAACAATGGTAGTCAGCAACAACATCTGTTGCACAAAAGGCTCGATCTGTGTAATACCACGACCACACAGAAGACAGGCGAGAAGTGGAAATAATTACGCGTTTCGTCTGAAAAATTTGCGTATGAGAGGCCTTATTTTAGTCCTTTTTTCTTTCCATACTTTTCTAATTAAGAAAGGATGAGAAGGAAAGAGGATGGAAGAGGGGTAGCTTAGGAAGTGGAAATATTCTCTTTCGTCGATTAAAGGTAGGCAACGAATCTGTTATTGCGGATGTCTATGAGTAGTGGTCTTTTCGCAATTTTGTCGAATTCAGATGGCTGGCTCATTCGCCACCTTATAACATAAAAAAGACAACATTACTGTAATATATTCAATAAAAGAAATCCTGGAGAAGGCCGTGGAATATATTTGAATAATAAATCTCCACATTATGGGCTATTTATATGTTTTCTTACACAGAAGCTATAAATATTTCTAAATCAATCTGTTGAGCAATGAATACAAACAGATTTAACGAAAGAAATATATATATATACGATGCACGTCTGACCTCTATCTTAGTATATCTATATTACATGATTTACATATATGGCTGTACAAAGTAATAACAAAAAGTGTTTTTGGCACCAAAGTGTCTGATATGAAATAAGAAGTATAGTAATACAAATAATAATAAGCGAAGAGCTTCGACCAATGTCTTAAGAAGCTCTCGCTAAACAGTTGGATTAAGGGCCCTATATGAAAGACAGTAATTTTAGAAACCGCGGAGGTTCCTGTCTCTGCAGACCTGACCGCTGGTTGCTTGAGTCATGGGATTCCATAACGGTGGTGCTGCATTTATAATATATTATTATATTTTGTAATTTTTATTTTATTTAATATATAAAATTTATTATATTAAGAATATGTTAAATAAATAAATAAATTATAATAATAATAAATACTTTATTGTATCACTCATATACACAAATAAGTGGGAGCCTTGGTTTCTGAACTAGGGCAAAGCCCTGTGTTTCAGGAGCCAATCAAATAAGGGGAGGGCCCTTATCATTAAATTGATTTTACATTTAGTGACAAAATTGAAAACAATCATTTACTATTTTGAACATGAAATTGTAAAATAATTAAAAATATTTTATTTTTTACAATTCAATTAATATAAAATAAGATATTATTCTAGACCTTAGTTTATTGTTTTTCAACTAGATATTACCTCCAATATTGTCTGTTACTACTACTCGTAGCATATGTAATTGTTTTTAGCATATCTAATCCGAACATAATTTGAATTTTTATAACATTTTTTGGATGTTAAAAAGCCTACATAAAAAAAAAATTAAGCAGAAATTTTTACGTAAAATATTAGGTAGTTGTTTTTGTAAATAACAGTAGTTATATAGTGATGTTGGTTTGTTCTATGTTAGAGTGAATAATGGATCATGTCACTTCCGGCGTCAGTCATTTGCAGATGGGTCACATACAACGGTCACCCTCGCATCACGTAAATATGCTACACAAATAACTTTGTTTAATATCATAGTATATAAAATGATTTTCCTTCATTTTTTAAATTGACATTCGACATTTAATCTTTTTTTTTCTTGAGATTTTTTTTCCTATATGTAAACAGTATTAGTAGGTCAAAACTTCAACTTTTTTATCGTTGTTCCTACTCCATGACTGTAGAAAATTTAGTTAATGATTGTAATTTCTGTTTATTACAACACGTGTTTCTTTGTCATACATTTTATTGTGGTCATTAATTCTATAAAATTACAGCAATGCATTTAAGTTTTGCAAATTTGGCCAGTTACCATAGCGAGCTAATCTCAAGCAATACGCAGTTGCTATGAAATATTAGGTTCTGTTGTCACGAGCCTGTCTATTTGGCGGGTAGATGAGGAAATATTGCACGCGTTTATGGCGTATGCCGGGAACGCCATAACGAGGTGTCAGTACATGTTATTTGTTATTTATGTTGCTGTATTTTTAAACAAACTGTCGCCCGCGACTCCGTCCGCGTAGTGTTGACTTCTATTTCAATATCAAATTACTGCGAGATACCTTCAAACAAACATATATTAATCCATTTAAACATTTATAATATTAGTTAGATAATTTTTCTATTGCATTGCAAATAAAGGTAGAAATATTTTATGCCTGTTTTAGGAATGGTATTTACTTTACATTGTGATTTATTTAGTATGGTATTAACCAATTTATACTAACTTAAATAGTAACAATTATATTTTATGAAAATTCTATTTTGCTCAACATAAAAACTTGAATTTCTACCATAGACAGACTGCACTATTTTATAGTCAAACATTAGCTAAAATTATTTTTAAATATCACTTCAGTTTATCTCAAAATTTTAACAAAATAACCTAACAAGTAAAGTAAAACTAACGTAACGTAATGGCCGCCATTTTGGAATTTCACTTTCTACTGTTTACTTAGTTTCGGCGTCGTATAATATCGTAACGAGATATTCATTTTTTAATTCTAGTCAATTGAGTGTCTTAATAGCGAAATGAATATTGTTACTTTTATACTATATTTTACTAGTCGACAAGTCAGTTTAAAGGTAAAGATTGGCTGCGGTCATCACGTTCGCCGCACACGACTTGCATCTCAACATCGACACACCTTATGAAGTCCTCGTGATTGTAATTTGCACGTTGACAGATTTACTGCATGTTCCAACTCTGATATAGCAATGCAACCAATAGAGCACCTTATCGCCACTGATGTAAACCAATGGAAGTGTCATGATTTATCTAGTTTGACAAAAATTGAGAAAATTTTAATGCATGGTGTAGTGTATGTATAAATGTAGCATTGTTTGTCTTGAGCGTACACGTCGTAAGTACATGCCAGAAAGAGGGTGGTCAGTCGATGTCAGACCTTTGGACCTGCAGCACGTGTCGGTACGTAAACGAGCCAAATTTAAGGCAACGAATAGTGAGCTATCTAGCAAGTATGAAAATAAATTAATTCCAAAACAAACCAGTACTTTTAGAATATCGTTTGCCCACGTTTCTTTTCGATAGGAACTTGTGATAAGACAGCTTAAGTTAAAAGACTGAAATTGAACGAGAAAATTTCGTATTTCAATAGCAAAAAAAGTAATCGGTTAGTAATTGGCGAAACGGGTAAAAAGTTACTATGCATTCAAAATAAAAAAAACTGCTATTTCGTTACTTACAAGGAAAAAATGCGATAAATATATGTGTGAGTTAATTAGAAATTATTATTTTAAGTGTATTTTGGCATATCAAGTTTTATATGAATTTACTGTATAAAAATAACTACATTATCTACATTTCTAGTTCTGAGACTTTTTTAGTCTACCCTACATTAGTTGCAGTTATTTATTTCGCAGAATGGGTGATGTGGAAATTAGTTTCGTGTCACTATCATTCAATTGTTTGTTATAGAAAACTGGATAAAGAAAACGTGATATGAATTTGAAAAGAACCGTCGCCGCGATTGCTTCAGAGAAGCGATGAAATTTGAACAGTTTACTGAGCTTGAATACAGTACGACGGGGACTTCGCCAATTGTTTGTTTACTTTGTAAGAGAACTGTTGAATTATATTATCTTATATATAAAATCGTGTCACAATGCTAGTTACCATACTCCGCGAAATGGATCGGCCGATTTTTATGAAATTTTATATGCACATTCAGTAGGTCGAGAATCTACTATCTATTTATTTATTCCGAGCGAACTGAGTCGAGGACGACAACTCATATGTACATATTTTATATATACCATATCTTAAAAGACGCAAGGTAATTAAGGGTAAAGCAATTATGTTTTTTTTAGTAAAAAATTGTATACTTCCAGCCATTTCTACATCTACGACATGAGAGCATCCGAACGCTGTAAATAATGGAGATGATTTGCTAACAGACAAATGCAGTATTGCCGGTGACTAATAGCACGTAATAAATCTGTAAGTATTGCATTCGTTTTTACAATAAAAGCCTAAATTTAACATTTGGAAATTACAAAGTTAGAAATGAATACAGAATGATAAGTTTAATTTAAAGTTTATTATGAAAATGGATTATTACTTATGTGATTTTTTGAATAAATAAACAACTGCAATGCCAGATTTTTTTAAGTCAGTGATAGTAAACACGTGTGTGGTAGATAATAAAATAACAAAACGGCAAACAAAAGAATGCTCAAAGTTGCAGTTTTTAGCAATAGTTTCAACTTCAACATAATGGTATATAATGACGCATTTTCGACGTTAAAAAGAATGTGTGTAATGCTATATGGAGTGTATTAATACATGGAAAAGGTAAATTAACTAAAGTAAAGTTTAGACAATAAGGATTTTGACGTTACATCGAGTGACGTTATATGGAGTTTAATCTGTGTATTAGAGAAAACTTGCCACACATCTACATTTAATACTGACGTATCTGCATATTCAAACGTGAAGTTTTCAATTTAGAACAGGTGTAACGTATTTTATGTACGTTTCTGTTGAAACCCGTCGCGGGCTCGATATGACCACTGACATTTCAATTTATTCTTCACTCCGTAGCCGCTGCCAGAACAGGTGCTGTTTATGTAACACTACCCATATCTCTCGACTATAAAACTTATCTTTTATTGACCAAAATAAATTAAATTTCAACGAATTAATAACGTATTTTTAACATACAGCATGTTCTGAAAAACGAAAGTTCTTAAAAGTATCTGAGTAGCATAAGTCTTTAGTAGCATTATTTAACCCCCTTCTTTTTGAAGTCGCCTAAAAAGAAGGATAAACAATAATAGTATTTTATTATTAAATTAAATGATTTGATTTTTCTATAATATTATTTAAAAATATTTCAAAAGTGAATAACATTAATCTGATTCCTCTGAAATGTTTGTATAACCTACTCTTAGACATTATTAGTTAGAATCCTTTGGCGCGAATGGCGCGCTTTCATTACAAAGTCAAGTGTTAGAATGATTAGTGTGGGGACATAAACGTCGACATTTTAGTAAGGCTAGTGTTGTAGTAGTACACCCTCACAGTGTCGGATTTTCTTCCTAACACTACCAAATTATATGACAGCTTTTATTCGATATTTTTACCACTGAAAGCGAATACGTGTTAATGTTTTATATCATTTGAATAGTGGTTTAACACTTGAATGGAATTCAAACCTCGGCCGAAATTAGAAACGCGATAGTAATCGCGGCCTTTTTGTCTTCCGCATATCATCAATTAAAATGTTTACACGTGGCAGACTGACGCAAGGCGGATTCTTTAAAACCTGTTCCTACAATAGGTTTGTGGGAGACTAAAGTTCGGTTAGCGCCGCACCAATTTATTTTGACCTTTTCCATTTGGTCTCGCGGTTGTACGCGATGTGCTCGCGATCTGTCCTTCAAGACGGTTCATCTTCCAATGGTCGTTTTGCTTGTCGTCAAGGTAACGTCTTGCTTCTTATATCGTATACAATAAAATTCGTAATGTGAGTTTTTGCGTTCCATTCAACAGACACGATAGTCGAGCTCGGATTTTATCTCGAAGGCCGAGGATGTCGGCACCGATGTGTTTGTTCCTTTTGTGCCGAATTAACAATGATGCGCCATAAATGGATTCGTGACAAGTCGCTTATAATATTTAATTAAGTGTCATTAGGCTACATTTAAACATGTAATTATGGTGATAAATATTGTACGAATGGTGACAAGTTTAGTATCATTAATTAGTGAAATCTCTTTTATCTTTTTATAGTTAATTCAGATATGTTTATTTACTTGTAGTTAAGTATTGTACGAGTATTAACATGATTAGATATTTTTACGAGTATATAGTACTTTTATTAATCAATTATCATACTTTATGATTTTCTATTGCTAACCTTTGATTGATATATTATGAATTAAATGTACCGTAATCGATAAGTGATTTTACTTTTATTTTGATTATTTAAATATTAGCGGAGCTCCATGCTCCATGCTTTTGATGGGGGTATGGTTTGTGACAATAGTATAATGGCGAGATTCGAACTGTCGACCACGTGATTGAAAATCCGTATCCTTAACCATTAGGATATTAGCGTTCTAAAATATTAAAAATAAAAATTAAAAATATTTCATTTTCCTCGTTACATTTTGCTCATTACATCTAAGGTTGTTTCTAAGTATTATTATAACAATAGCAAACGTAATAATACATGTACATATAAGTTTTTTTTGTGTTTACAAACGCCTAAACAAATTCAGAAATCCATTTGTACAATTGTTCTTTGTTCTTGTTTTTCTTTCTACTTCTCACATTACCAGTCACCAGTAAGTACCTTGACCTCGCGCTTTTTGCCTTCATCTGGCGATATAAGGCCTTGGATATGTTTTTGACTATTTCCTCAATTAGCAATACAAGCCACTCGACCCGTCGCTACGTTGCTTTAAGTACTCATATTCAATGGACGTAGACATATTGAGAATTTCATCGCAAAAAACAGACGTTCACTATGTCCACTTCAAACAGGAATCGCTGCCTCATAGAGAATATGTGACAAGAATCGTATAGTTAGTTAAAGTATTTATTATATTCTTTTGTTGGGTTTATTCATTTTTATCGTACTGAGATCTTGTCTGTGATTCAGTACTCTTTAAATATCGAAAAAGTTTCCAATTTTCCAAACAATCAAATAGAAATCAAGAGATTGAACCAGTGTTCTTTCGTAATAATTTGGACTAAAGAAATAAACAAAATTGTTACGCTGCTTAGTAATTTTAATTTAGTTTAAAGAAACTTCTTACTTAAGTAATTACCGGAGGTCACTGTTTCGTTGAACGACTACTTCAGTTTAAATATTTACTTAGCAAGTTATTTCGTAATTAAAAATAAAATGTCTCTAGTTTCTTCTCATCCCTCTCATTTATTTCTCAAAAACTAGCTGCCGCCCGCGACTCTGTTTGCGTGGAATGAAAACTTATTTCGTTCACGGCAATTATTCGGTTTTACTCACCTTTTAAACCTTCCCTAGACCTCCATAAACATTTCAAGACCAAGATAAGATAAAGCCGTTCAGCTGTTCTCGAGTTATAGAGAGACTAACGAACAGCAATTGATTTTTATATATAGATGAAGAAACAATTTGTACAGCTTTGCAGGAATAGAAAACTACCGTTTGAAAGAACTGTTCAATTTACTTTACCTTTTGGAAAATGGAGAACGAGATGTTTAAAAGTGCGCTTTCTAATATTGCGATTGGGAGATGCTTCCCACGGGGCGTGCGGGACAGACGGACGGTTTGACAGTATGATTGTACGTAAGTGCCGGGAACCATCCACCGTATGCTGGCTGTACCGACACATTGCATTGGGCGGCCGGTCACGAACCACCCTGTACACACAACTATTTTACAAATTTTTATCCTACAACTGAAAATACTGTACGGTAAAATGTCTGTTTATTTTCTAGAAATGTCTTGGTTTATTCAATTTTTGAAAGCATTTATATACTCGTCTTATATTCCTCAAATTTTAAACTTTTTATTAATTTAATTTAACTTTTGATGGGACAGAAAGCAAATGTTGTAACTATGCGATAGACATAAAAAAGGGTTACTTTATGATGCCTATGGGTGATGAAACCAGGCGATTTCTCGTTTACTAGCTTTGCCTACTATAAAACATTCCAGTCAAATTTAATTTTAATTATTCATTTAAACTTCAAGCATCATGTTCACTTATTTAAGCATTTTATCACAAAACAAATTGCATTCTTAATAGAAGTAATTTTTGTATTTGTTATGGAATTTTATATAGAAATTATTGCAGGTGAAATTGTCCCTATATTTACATACAAACGGATGCAGTTAGCGATTCCGTACCGTTATGTTCTAGTGCCATTCACATGGAGAGTACTATTGTTACACTAGACGCATTCTAAGTACCTACATGATTTATTATTATATCTGACTAATATTATAAATGCGAATGCTTGGATATAGGTATCGATAGATGGATGAATGTATGTATGTTTGTTACACAGTATCTTTAGAACGGCTGTATGGATCTAGCTGTAATTTGTCACATATGTAGAACATAGGTATAACATATAGTATACTTACTAATTTTTGTTAATGCTGCGCAGGCTAAGTCGCGTGCGATAGCCAGTATTCTATAATTAGCGTAGTTTATTATTATATAATAATATTCAAAAAGAAACCGCAATTAAATTTTACGACACAAAGTATTTAAGCTCTAAACAAGTACAAGGATTAAATTGTCGTGGGGAAGAAAAGCGTCCCAAAAGAACGTCAATTGTACAAAAGTACCTGACAATGTTCTTGGAGACCGCATCAATAAGTCTGGGCCTCACGCTCTACAGGGAAAGAATCACTTTAATTGTTATGTAACTTAACTACATTTATTTACTTTAAAAACAAATATATGTTTATTGAGAATGTGAAACTGTGCAATTCCATAATCAAATGAAGTTATTCAATTCCTTTGATAAAAGTCAATTTATGGGTAGAAACTAGAAATAGTAATAGATAACTGAGAAGCGTTTGTCTCCTGAGAGCGCAGTCGTTTACAGTCTGAACGTATAAATATTCAAATGCATTTGCAATTAAGGTTCATTCAAAGAGCGCAAGCTTTCGATCCCGCGCCGCGCATTAGTACCCAAGGAATAGTTCCGCGACACTAAATATTCATAAAGTCATACGACTTGCAGCCGGGAGGAACAATGACAAGAAACTTATACATATGTCACTTATATCTTAAGAATACTAAATAGGAAAAATATTATCCGAGATATGTTTTTATTACATTCTCTTGAGAATGAATCTGGTTATTTATTTAAGGACCTAGAAAAATTACTGCTATTTATTAGGGCAATGGAAAGGGCAATGCTCGGAGTCTCTTTGCGAGATCGCATCAGAAATTATGTGATCCGCAGTAGAACGAAGGTAACCGACATTGCCCGAAGAATTGTGTGTTAAGTGGCGATGGGCTGGCCATATTGCCCGCAGAATGGACGGTCGATGGAGGCGCAAAGTCCTAGAGTGGCGGCCACGGACAGGTCGACGCAGCATGAGCAGGCCTCCCGCAAGATGGACCGATGACCTGGTCAAGGTTGGGGGAGCGTCCTGGATGCAGGTAGTACAGGACCGGACATCGTGGCGATCTTTGGGGGATGCCTATGCCCAGCGGTGGGCGATTTATGGCTGAGCAACAAATTACTGATAAAAAGTGTTAAGGACTTTATAAAAGAGTTACGATGTCTTTTCGTGTAAAAAGCCTTACTTAGATCTTTTATAATAAAATTATAAAACAAAACACAATCCAATTCTCAAAAATTTTAATCAAATTATTATTTTTTGACTTGTACTATCGTAATAATATACAAATGAATAGAACCTTAATACCTTGGAAAACGTCTATCAAATTGGAGTTTATTAACATTGTATCGTAGTAGACGTGTACATGACTGAAATATTTAATAGATAGGTGGGAATCGAAGCATTATGTTCTAAATATACGGCGGCTCTGAATTGCAGGCGGTGAATGCATCGCCTGTTAAGGACACGCCTGCGATCCTACAAATTGCCTTTGAAGTCTGAATGACAATGATGCTTTGAACTGACAATACGATATGTCACTTCACGACACAAAGCTTACTGAACAAATTATTTCTTAATTTTTTATGCTATTACTTATAAAATTAATCCATTCCATAAAACAGTGCTGATATTGTCTCTAAATCATTACTCTAGTAATCGTCATAGGGTCAACACTATAAATGTTAAATGGACCACATTTCGAAGTGTTTAGTGAACATCGCTGTATAGAACGGGGGCGACAAAGAAAATGTTTATAGTGACGCCCACATAACAAAAGCGTCTACTCGGAAGGGACAAATTGGGAGTGGTGATGTTTCCTAGGATAGCCTCGGGGTCGCGTAATTTGGTACAACGTCAGCCGTGGCAAAGCCCGCGTGAAATATTTGGTAGCGGCGGACTGATTTGCATACAATGAGCCACGGCCGAGGGTGGGACTGGAAATACCTCTCACTAACATTTCGGAAGTACCGTTCTTATAGCGTCCGTGTTTTGTTGCTGTATAAATGGGGTTAACATGTAACACGACAAAAAGTAATTGCTTGCTGGACCATTAAATTTGCAACTATATTGCTTTGAATACGTCATTTATTTTGCGACTTGTTCTAATGAGGGTTTTAAAATCTATTTGATAACTATAACCATAAGTAATCAATATCAAGAATTAATTTTATCTTTTGAAAGTAAAGTAACGTATAAACTTTGAAAACTTCCTCTATAAAAATCCAAGCTTAAAGCAATCTTAGAAAAGAGCACGATTCTCATGATCTTTTTTCAGAGAAAAGCACTGAAAGATATCCGTTCTACAATACTCTTTTAAGGAGGCGAATGCAGGGATTTTTTGTTTAACGAGTAAGATAACTTTGCTTGCTGGAGTACTTTGTATAATTTAATGTCTATGGTGCCATTTTAATGGAATAAAGAAAAACATACATTATAATATTAATAATAGAATTAAGGATAACATTTGTCGCTTATCATCAATTAAATAATATTGTTCGTTTGTTTTAAAACACGTTTTCTTAGATAAATTATATATTTTACTAAATTTTAACCGCTCGAGAAAATTAGATAAGGTACTATCATGGAGTTATCAGACAACCTTAGCCCTAGAGCTCATTTACCTTGATAAAATAACTAAGAACATAATCATCACGTACTGAGATAGACAGGACACGTGCCTTGTGGACTGAGATTTACGTGATCATGTGCATTTTAATGTTTACATTGTCTATGTTATCATCTACTTATGTGATTGTGTAACCGTGGGTTTCTGAGACCGAAATCCCCGGATGACGACATGATTTAAAGAGGTTTTGGTCTCGGAAACACACATCGGAATCGGAAAGACACATCATAAAAGATTGTATATTTTATTAGTATTTTAACTCTACCAGTGAACCAGTGAAATTAAAACCAAAAGTTTCATTGGACAGTCAAAAAAACTTATTGTTAAGAGGAGAAGGTGTTCAAAACTTGTCCATTCTCTTGAAAATGGGTACGATTTCATTTTTATCTGATGATGTAAATTTTTTGTCTTCACAACTTATGATACAATTACTAAAATTTTTATTATCTTGGAATTATTATATAATAATAAATGATATTTTTCTTTTTTCAGATAATACGCGGCAGTAATAAGGCGTAACCACACATGTCCCCGAAAAATGATTCCGGTAAGTAACCGCTTTACTAAGATCTATAACACGTCCGACCTTTGAATAATCCTTACACAATTAAACAATGGTTGCTTTAATGCCACTCACCCCTTGAAATAATTACGCAAACATCTGCAAAGCTCGCAGCTGCTACGTATTTCTAGGCAATAAAGGAAGCGAGAGCGTTTATTGAATGCCAACCACTGTACTTTATCCTTTATTTAGATCTAGAACACAAAAAAAAATACAATTCCATTTAGAGAAGTTGTAGTATAGGATCACATTTTGTTAGTAAAAACTGTGGGAATAACAAGTTACTTAGGAACATGAAATTCATAAATAAGCATATACTATAGACAACCGGTAGTCACATTATTATAAATAATTTTAAATCGTGTTTTAAGGTCGTACTGTTTGTACTTTTTTCCATAACAACCTTTCTTTTCAACTTTATGACCAAAAATAACAATACTAGTATTAAACTGATATATAAACACGGCTAAACACTCACGTATATACGTCCGGTGGCGGCACCGACTAGTTTCGGGCCCATCGGGGGCCCGTCATCAGGATGAGTGGTACTGGTATTATTTCGCGGACGCGGCCCGTCGCTCAATGAGCGACGGGCCGCGTAGTATAGTAGTAGTATAATGTCTCACGAAAGTTTGAATAATACTAGTATTTGTATTGTTAAAAATATTCATTTAAATGTGTGTGAAAAATTTCATGAATTTGCTAAACTCTTTTTACTTGCGTATATTTTGATCGTACAAAAATGTTAAGAAGATTCGCAACACCTAACTGTGAGGCTAAGTTCTAATAATGTGATTTTCAAGCGTCGCTTACCCCCTATCCTCAGTGACGTCACAGCTAGGGAGTCTCAGAGTTAGTTCTACAGATAGTTTTGCAACTCGTTAGCGTTCAACTTCTATTTTTCTTGTTAGTTGTGAACAGTCTCGTAATTTTTCCATCGTGAGTAAGTAGTTCTAGACATAAATGTACTAGGATTCTAGGATTTTAAATTGTATTTTACTGTTTGACTTTTACTTTGACAATGACGAACTTCGTAAACTATAGAGAGAAATAGATTTCGATACATACTTTAACTTATAAAGTTTAATATACTGTTTTCCTCATGTTTTGCTAATATAGAACGATTTATGACTTTCAGAATGTCATATGTTGTTTAAAATGTTTCGTATTATAAATATATAAAAAAGATTACATGTCTGTTATGGATATTTACAGCGTACAAATATAGATTTTTTATTTTTAGGGTACTTTACCAGATGATTTCTGAAACAAGCACTTCAGTATTAAAGTATGTAGTTGAAGTTTTCAAATGATTTTCAATGTTTGTAAAGTAATTAAGCACCGTCCTTACAGTCTGAATACTTTAAGATTGTCACTAATGTATTCAAATTTGACATAATTTATTCCGGTGGCGTCTTTAAAACTGTTAATTTTTATGCGCTAACGAGAATTACTAATTTAAATATGACTATGAAGAAAATAGAAATGTTTTATGATTTTTTTATAAAGCAAACAATGAAAATGGTATATTTTCAGTCGTTTTCAAATATAGAAATAATTGTATAATATTTAAAGTGAACACGAAATATTAACACTAATAAAGTGTAAAAATTCTACTTCAACGTGTGAACGGTAAAAACACTATTTAAATGTGAGAATTTACTTGAAAGCGAGAAAATTCGCCTTTTGTTTAGGAACGGCACAGCCGTGAGCCGGTGGAATAAACGAGTGTAATAAAAATGTTTTTTTTAGTTACGTACTAAATCTTTGAGGCTAATTAACGTATTAATACTTTTATATTTAAATTACTAGTTTAAAATCAAGCAATTTATATAATAAGAAAAAGATGGGAAACATTCGTCATTTTACTTATGAGATGTAACTCAAAAGACATGTAGTTAATATCTTTTATAAGGTCATGGTAAATCACTAATCGAGCCGGCCCTACTGATATCCTGGATAGTTTTATTTTTTTAATATTTTGCTTGATATTTACTCTTTATAAAAAAAATTGCAATATTGTTGAATACCGTGATAGTATTTTTTTACCTTTTATAGCATTATCAGGGCATTTAACAATAAAGTCATAAAGACATTAAAGTCGTAAATATAAAGTTAATGATCATTAAGTCATGGGAAAGGAATAGTGTACAACGCTTCTTCGGTATTCCTTTCACTTTCGAGGGGCCCTGCGCGTACTATTTATACGTATTATAAACATAATCATGTCAAGGGCGCGCATCGATGAAAGCGAACTTTTTAAAGTCATTGTTTAATTTTATTATATATAATATACATATGTAGAATTACTAGCTTTATCGTAAAGTTTGATTCAATGGGTTGAACCTCCATAGTTGATTTGCTAGGATGTGTTTTTATTGTTCATAAATCGAAAAAAATATTTAAAATAAGAACTTGAAAATAGAAAGAAAACAATTTTAATACACATCTAAAGAACTATAATAATTGATATGACCAAAATAATTGTATAGATTCAACGTGTTTGAATATATTCCCGACAACTGCCAACTTTTCAGAATAATTAATTAAATCGTATTCAACGATTGCGAATAAACATATCGATTAAATCGATTTCAGCAATCGCCAGCAATTAAGATAAATCGCGAGCATTCGAATGTACTGCGATTATTGTAAATGAATTCAAAATATTCAATCTAACGAAGCGCTCGGAACCAAAACGTCTCCGGAATTCGTGTCGTCTGCGGTATTCAAATACGATTAAATTTATTGCCAAACTTCTGATAAAAGTCTTATCTTAATCTGGACAAATTAATTACGATTCCCTTTTAAAGTAAACAACGACCCTAATTTTGACACTTTGAAAAATCGCCTAAACTGTATACGATTGAAGAATGAATTAATTTTATACTTTACTAACTGTGGCCCGCGAATCTGACAGCATGGAATTAAAAAAAAACTTATTTCGTAGCCTATATGTTCTTCCGGACTATGCAACTACGTGTACTACAGTCTTCTTCTGTCTTC